ATATATCTTCTATGTAGCCGTAAGCTTAAGTGCAGATCAGCTAGATCTAGTGTGTGGTGTAAAGATAGAGCAGCTTTTGGTTGAGCAGGATGTTGCAACCCCCTTCTAATGTTTTAGATGTATATTAATTTATTGTCACCAACTTTATTCATAATCTTTCTTTACAAATGGTGTGTATTAAGGATTTCTTACAGATTCTTAAAATTGTCAATTATTATCCCTTTCTTTTAGGGGAACTTGTGGCGTGGATCTAGCATGTTTCGAAGGACTGTTCGTAAAGTATCAGGGATGTAAATTACAGGGCAGGCAAACAGCAGTGCAACTGCAGTCCAAGAAATGCAAATAATACTAGCAAAAGAATGTACAGTTAGACTGAATTGTGAAGAAGTGTCAGTGCATTACATTGAAGTGCTTTAGATCTCTTAATAGAAGTAGCCTTTGATGAATGCAATCAGTGCAGGGTTCTATTTTTGCCATAATAATTAAGAGTAGTGAAGTGTATGTTTTTTATAGCTTTTGTTTTTGAGAACACTAGTATAATTGCCCTGAGATCAATGAGAATTTGTGCAAACTTGTTGTGGTAGTAAAAATTACAGTTCAAATGTTACAGCTGTTTCATGTTTAACTTATCTTTAGGACAAGAGAAGGACTATTGTATGTGTATGGAGGGAAAGTCAGGGTTGTAGCTAACCAAAAATCCTTAAAATATCAAAATAATACCAAGCAGAAAAGTGGCAGGAATAATGGAAAATGTCAATAATGTGATTCCTTGGTGATCCAATATCAATTTCCCTGAACTAATATTATAAGAATTGTATGTCAGACAGTTAGGAGAGTTAGTAACAAGATTGTGGGAGTGGAAAGGTTTAACAACAGTCTGAATGCAGAATTTCACCTAGTTATGACTTGGGGAAAAGAAATTACAATTGATCCAAAATTGGTTTATTTTTCAGTGTTGCCATCAGGGTTATCTGCGTCACCTAAACTTTTAGCAACGTGTAAGAAGAATAGCATTTTAGCCACTCCACCCCCCATTACTGAGGCTTAATTTTCCTGGCACAATTAGCATGCACCTTTGTTTTTTAATCACTATACATAGTTCTTGCTGTTTTATCAAAGCCCAGTCCTTATAAATCTGGTATTTTAGAGAGACTGAGATTATTGTGGTTACATCAAGTTTATGTCTACACAGAGTTTTTGAAAACCAAACTGAAGGTTTCTGAAGGGATCCAAGTTAATTTTGTGTGTATGAGAGTAATGCAAAGTTTTACTGACCTGTCAGTATTTTTTTTCCTATTGAATCCTTTTAGTTTGGATACCTGTGAACAGAAAAAGCCAATTCCAACATGCTTCATGTGCATGCATACCGTACTGAATGGAAACAGAAAATATCACTCTTCAATTTTGAAAATATCCCTTGTTGTAGACAAAGTCCCCAACATACAAGTTGATAATTTCTTTATCAACTGCAAGCTTGACAGAAATAATCTTGAGGGGAGAAAATGCCCCTTTATCATTGGTCATCCCTGCCAAGGGAGAGTTACAAATAATATAACCTGGAAATTGCAATAAATTAATCACTACATGTAGTGGTTCTATGTTTTTCAATTATTTCAATTTATCAATCAAGAATTGGGACACAGGGTAATTAATTTCTTGTGATTTATTACAGTAAAATATTTCATACAAGCTTATTGTGCTGATTTAATGCTGTGGCATACATTCTTAATTATTTTGCCTGAGCTTAAGGTAAAGCAGTAACAGATAATTAAACCTTACAATCTTGCACAAAGAGAAAACAGTAAACAGAAAAACATGTCTACTATGAGTGAACATGTCAAGGTCTGGGCTTCTTATTCCTTACTGCTGCTGACTCCCAATCATGTGGTAAGATGAACCTGGAGCTGGAGAACCTTGAGAGAGCTGGTGAGAGTCACATACTGGCATTTGGAATACCTGTTCAGTATTTATTGTTGTAGCAAAGTGTGTTAACAACTCCTAATTCAACCCTGACAGTGACTTCCACACAGGCCATTAAAATGTCAGTCAGTGTTACTAACAGCAGTCCTTTTCAGGACTACTATCAGCCCAACATCATACAGCATGATGAACTGGTACTCTTAGATTAAGCCACTAGTTATAGAGGACTCTTCTCCCACATCATGCTAGTTGAGAAACTGCCCTTCAAAATGCATCACACAGTAATTACAATAAACAATTTTGAAATGAATTAAGATTACAAATCAGGCTATGGAACTATATGGAGATAAATCAGACCAAGCTCACAAACAGAACTCAACCAATCCTGAATAGAGAAAGAGCTCTCAAAGTTATGTACATATTCCCAGTAGTATGATATTAAATACAAGTACTAGTAAATGTATTATTAAATATGAAACTTAGATCACATTACTAAAAATCAAAGAATAACAAATTTATCTTAAGATTGTTATCACTCTTTTCTATAACATATTTTACTTGTTGCCCATCACGTGGCTCTTAAATTCAATTCTGCTTGAGGATTATTATCACTGTTAAAGTGTTTGCAAAAGATGAGCAAAAACAAGTGTATGAAAGATCAATTGAAACTAGTACCCCTAGGAATGGCCCATCTCTACTTGAAAGTTACCACTGAGGTTTTATACAATCACAAAAGAAAGGTATTCTTCTGTTTGATCCCTTCCTTCACTTAATGTTTCACTTTCATTTCTCACTGTACAGCACATAGGGTGCATTATCAGTTTACACTCACTCTGGATCCTGTTGTTTTTAAGACAGTTTACCTGATAAATAATCCCAGTGGATTAAGATATCATTTTGGCTGATGTTTTGCCATAAGGGTAGTGAAAAAAATGAGCCAAATAATTAAAATGTCTGTATCTGTTGTCAGTTAAACATCAAGTAAGGGATGTTACTTCTAGCTTTTGAAATACATCCTATGTCATTTAAAAATTGTTTTGATCGAACAAGACATTCACAACAACAAAAAAAAGGAAAAAATATCTCCCCTCTTTTGTGTTTGTTTAATACTTTGGATCATCCTGAATTCAAAAAAGAAAAAAACAAGTAGAGGAATCCACAACACCGAAAAAGGAGCAAAATAAAAGAAATATGCAGTTACAAAAAGGTTTACAGGTCACAGTGCATCAGTCTTGATCCTACCTAAATATATCCTTTGAGTGGTTATGTTTGATAACATTAACAAGTAAAGGAAAATGGCTTCTATGTTTTCTAAATACAAAAAGCAACTGTTTCCAAACATTTGATGAGGGTTACTGAATTACTAAAGACTTTCAGAGGGTCTAGTACAGAAATATACTATATCATGATATCGACTAAAGGGATTTTGGCCCTGAACAATTTACTAATAAAGAGGTAATAGTAATACTACACACTACTTGTCACTAGACTTGCTCTAAAATACTATCAAAACACGAACAAAACGCTGTTAAGAGTTCAAGTCCATGGTGCGTGACTTCTAAGTTGCAATGTCCATGACAAAGTCGAAACTTACTGTATAAATCACACGAAATTCATCGACAATACACGTATAGCTTACGGATAAAAGGGTTTTAAGTATCGATCGATAGCTCTCCCAAAATAATTAACAAGGAATGGTACTACAACAATACTAGTTATTGGTCTTTACATTGGTGATTATCTAATCCTTGAAAAACCTGAACACGCTCTCCTTTGACTTCACAGACTAAAATTTGTCCATCTGGGGTGATCGATAGGTCGATAGGGAAAATGAACTGTCCAGCTCCTTTGCCGCGACTTCCAAACTTCGTGAGGAACGAGCCATCCAAACTGAAAACTTGTATCCGATTATTCCATCCGTCACATACCAACAACTGATCATGTTGATCGACTGCCAGTCCACGCGGTCTGTTGAACTGCCCGTCGCAAAACCCAGATTCGCCGATGTCAAACAGGAAATTTCCTTGACTGTCGAACACTTTCACACACTGATCGTCACTGTAAGACACAAAGTACTTTTCGTGACTGTAGGTGACGTAGGATGGACGATTATTCGTTTTTGGATCGCTAAACTGCTTTAGTAGTGTACCCTCTGGCGAGTATACTTGAACTTCTCCCTTTTCGCCGCCACTACAAACCGCGATATTGCCATCGCCTGCCATACAAACACCCCAGGGATTTCTGAGGTTTTCGCTAGCGATAACCCGTATTAGTTCGCCGGCTGATGAGAACACTACCACTCTGTGATTGTCCGAGTCAGTGACGATGATATTTCCGTCAGTATCGAAGGTAGCACAGTATGGGAAATTCATGCAAGCATCGGTAACTCCTTGGGCACCAAACGAACTCAAAAACTCGCCATCAGACTTGAATAGTTGGACACGGTGATTACACGTATCTATAACGGCAATTTCGCCTTTGTTACTGACTGCCATACCATTTGGGTACCGAAATTTACCTTCTTCAGTTCCATTACCACCAAACACTTTCAACGACGCCATCTTCTTTTCTTCTTTGAAATGAAGCATTCTGGGAACGGAAAGCCACGCTTGCTGTTCATTGCATTCGGCATTTCATTGGTTGAAAAATTCCCGCGAATTCAGCTTTCTTGCTTTCGTGCTTTCGTGCTTTCGCTCTCTCCAGTCTTCAGGGTCGGCCAGGGTTTTTGAGTATTCGGTATTCAGGGGTGTTTTAAATCGGGTATACCGTATATTGTAGCTTAAACATGGGTATTCAGTATATCACTTTCTTTGAATTTCAGGTTTAAAGTATTCAAAGCTTCGATTATTTTGGGTATATT